CTCCGTGGTCGTATTTGTCACGCTGCTGATGACGTCAGGTACGTGCTTTAATCGGGCGCGCTTTAGTGGACCGTGGTTTTGTCGTGCCACGCTCATTTCACCCACCTCGGAAGGATGAAAGGCTGAGTCAACCCTGAGCCGGTGAGATTTGAACCGCCAAACTGCTGCTAACAGTCAGCTGAAGTGGCTGCAGTACTGCATTCTAACCACTGCGCCACCCCGGTATAGGAGAAGTCTACATTCCCCATGCCTGATCTAAACTATTGTTTCTCTAGTAATATTGTAAAGCAGGCTTCAGTAAACCTGCAGGCTTCCAAATATGTTCAAAGTTATCTCTCATAACTTCTAACCGCAATGGAGTACTACCAATGATCATGCTTCTAGAATTCTTCTGTGATTAAGAGACGTCCAATACATTTGAAGGCTTCCAGGCTGGAGAAAGCTGCTGTGGAATAATATATCAAGCATATTTGTTTATGTTAATCCACCCAATAAGATCCAGTGAAGTTTTGCATCTTCTTGTATCTTAACTTCTAAATCAGGTTTTAAATATCATTGGCAAAGTTTCCTGTATTCCCATACATCTTTTGAAGCAATATTAGAGTGAGAAAATGGTAGAAATGTATCTCTCTCACCTAGTAAGAACACAGCATCATGTTCTCTGCTTGTCCGGAAACATTGAATGAATAATCCAAGTTTTATAGTTTTAAATGTGCTTTATAAAATTTGACTCTAAAATTGACTTCCTGGTCTTGAAAAAGAAATCAGTAGTTAAATATATTTTTTTTAAACTTCTGCTTTAAATTGCTAGAGAAGTGGTAAGATGAATGAACATGCACTCACAGGCAATTTTAAATTTGCAAGTTTCCCCGTTTATGCAAAAAGGTTTTGTGATGAAACAACAGTGGTACTTGGTACACAATTCTTCTGTCTTCTCTCTTTCATAAGATAAATTTGAAAGTATGTTCATGGTGTAGAACCGTGATGGTGAACCTATGGCTCGTGCGCCAGAAGTGGAACACAGAGCCATCTCTCCGGGCACCCGAGCTATCACCTGTTGCTCTTCCGGGTTCCGGCGTGCTAGCCAGCTGGTCTTCACGCTTGCGGGAGCACCGGAAACCAGAAAAGCAGTCACCAGTGCTCATGCGTGCACAGGGAAGATGATCTTCTGGTTTCTGGCATGTGTCCATGCGCTCCCATTTCAGCACACAGTGCCGAAAAGGTTTGTCAACACTGGTGTAGAATGATAGTTGAAAGACTGGATAATTAAGTCTTGAAAAAAATGTTAACAATTATACCAGATGGAGAAGAACATCGTATCAGGTTTCTACCGTGATATTGGGGCAAAATTTTTAAAACACTTGGATGTCTCACCATCATAAAGCTACTGTTTGCCTTGATATAAATCATTGTTTTCCCGTTGCTTGGGGATTTTAATAAAGGGAACAAAAAGGAATTATTGTTTAATTTCTGTCTTGATGTGATATCTTGGGTTAACTTCTCTTTTCCCTTAAGTTTTGTTTTAAAAGCAGAATATTTTGATTTCCCTTCATTTCTGTCTTGTCCTTAAATGGCCTTTATATAAAAAATTCAGAGAAGTTGGCCAGCAATTCTAAATAACTACTTTTTGCCAAGAAACTACAAAGAACTCCAGAGGAGCCATTTTTATTTGTCTGACCGGATGAGGGACGGGGGACGGGAGGGGAGAGCAGCCTTACATGTCCCACAGAGAGATAAAGTATTTGACTAAAATGCAAACCGTGTTGTCCCTGAGAGAATTGTATAATTAAACATGAGGTAAACAAATACTGTTTCCCCGCAACAGCAGTCTGCTATGCCCCTTTGAGAGGACAAATGCTGCAGAGTGATCTAGGCTAAGCTGGGTATGAAGAGAAAGGATTCAAGATGGTCATCTGAAGAACACACACCGGAATTTCCCACCCAGGGGCTAAAGAAATTCTGTGGCTTGCAAAAATGCATCTGCTTTACTTACAGAGAGCCAAAGGCTAGAGAGTTAATTTGTATTTCTCATTTCCTTCTTTTGGTTCTCCTCTTAACCCTCTTCTCGTTTACAGCTCAATCTTTTCTGCCCTCTAGGTGCATCCAGGTCATGAAAAACAGCATCTGTCCCATCAATGTCTGTAGCTATTATACTGCAGGCTGCAAGGTGAGCTGCCAACTTAATGGTTTTTCTTTTAAGTAGTAAGCTAATATATATAGTAAACATATATATATATGGTTCACTGACAAATGCGCGCTCGTCAAAAGCGTGCCGACAAATGCGCGCTGACGAAAGCGTGCCATCAAAAAACAATGAAAACAACGTAATAACCCTAACCCTTACCTTAACCCTAACCCTAACCCTAACCCTAACCCTAACCCTAACCCTAACCCTAACCCTAACCTTAACCCTTACCTTAACCCTAATCGCGCTTTTGTGGGCGCAGTTTTGTCGGCGCTCTTTTGTTGGAGCGCTTTCAACGTCGCAGGTTTCTCACCACGGTTTTGTTGGCGCGCTTTTGACAGGCGCGCATTTGACGGGTCACATTTTGCTTTGCTTATGTTTGTGTAGTTGTTGTGATGATGTTCTGGAACAAACTGATTTCTCGACTTCCTTTTTTCTCCCCTCCTCCTTCATCAGTTGATTGCGTCTTACTGGCTTTTAATGAAACTTGCACCCATCTGTTCAATGAACAGATTCTTTACTTGTTCAAGAAGGTGGTTTCTGGAAACAGTTTATAAATAAATTGGGTGTATCTCCAGGATGGAAACCAACAATCCTGCAGATCTCTGGCTGTAGAGGTGCTCTTTGAAATCTTTAGGAATTGAAAACAAGAGATATTTTTCACACACAGTGAAGAAACTTAGCACAAACTCAGCAGAGATGTGCAAATCTTCCTGGGAGGAATTCTAAATGTATTAATTGCACTTTCATTTTAGATTTGCAACAGTTAAAATGTCATCCCAAAAGAAATGAGTGTTCTTTTTTTTGTCTTCTCCCAAATGTAGATGCAGTAGTTTAATTTCCAGTTTCCACCACAAGATGGTTCTAGAGTTCAGAGTTTCTTTAACTCCTCTTTTTCTTCTCACTTTGGAAACAGTATAAGCAACCTTCCTTGATCGCTGTCTGTGAAAGATGGACTGAGGTAAACCTTGTCCCACAGCTTGGCACCCATATATCTCTGCGGGACCTGCCACTGGAGCTGCTACAGAAAGTGCTCAAATCTCCAAGGTCAGAAAGTACTTGGCTAAAAGGGGAGGTTCCTGAAATGCAGGCGCAGTCTTCTTAGATTGAGTAAAGGTCCATCAAGATAATTTAAGAAAGGTTGCAAGTTGCTCCAGTAAGTTTCCCCTGCCTGGCAGCAACTACCCCGAGGCCTGAAATCACTTGTGCATGCTACTGCAAGCACCTATAGAGGGTTCCACCACAAAACCGCGTTCGACTAAAGTGCGCTCGACGAAACCGCGTAGCTGACGTCATCACAGCGCGA